AACTGTATTTCCAATGATTATCCTTTCTGTAATTTATCCTTTCTTCATTCTTAAAAAAAATAAAGTTTGTATGGTTTTGACATTCAGCCAAATATCTTAGTTTTGCCCTCACAAAAATCAAAAACAAATTATGATATCTCAAAAAGCTAACCACTAGCTTGTAAAACAATCTTTCCTTTATGTTCTCTGTGAATTTCATTACATTCCTGCTATTATTAACGAATTTAGTGGCTCATATATATGAATAACTTACTTCCGAGATAATCCGCGAAACAGCCGGACCACCGATTTTTTTTTTTTTTTTTTTTCGAGAAAATAACATTTTTCTCTGTCTTATACTGCATTACGAGTGTATATCATAGTTACCCATGTTCGTTTTCTTTAATATAAGGACCCTGGAGGTGAAAGAAAGAGAATGGAAGCCCCTCTCTGAGAATGGGAATCTATTATTCCCGATGGAGCGCTCTGAGAATATGCCATATATTATTCATTCTGGAGTATTTACCATATTTCTTTGTTATTTATATTGTTTATTATGTCATATTAGATCAATTATGATAGATAAATAAGCCGTAGAAGCTATAATAGCGTTATATTGAGCCATACTCCCCGGACACCCCGAGACTGGAATTTTCCATGACGTCAGCAAAATGGTGTCGGGAGGTTCCTGGTTGGTTGGAACTCTACGTGTAAGTCCCGCCCACTGTATTATGATGCCAAATCGTCAATTATTATCTTAGAACGAATAATACAATAAATACACGAAAAAAAAACGGAAAAAAAATTGACGACAGGTGAGCACACCTGCCGCGGGTGGTGACGTAACCCTAGGTGTTTTAAATGACCATAATTCTTTGTAGGAATGTCATAGAACAATGATTCTGGTACCATTGTGTTGCCAGAGAGTTAAGCTATTTTTCTATAAGATTAACTCAGTTTGTGAATTTTTCGGCGCTGTATAGCCCTTGTGGCTTAGCGCTTCTTTTTGATTATAATAATAATAATGTGAATTTTTCGACAATTTTTCGTTCGCGCTGAGTAAGTGCTAATTACTCCTTAAACCGTTCAGCAGAGGCATAAGTTATATCACAAAATGAAGACCATTACTAACAACATAATTGATAAATGGGCATTACACACCACAATAACAATTCTAACATGTCTAAATAGGATACACCATGTTGAAGGTTTAAAGCCAATCAGAAGGGGTTTTCTCTGTGAATGGTGTACTATATGTATTATTATTGTTATTATAATCAAGGGGAAGCGCTAAACCTGTAGAATTATACAGCTCCTGTGGGGGAGGGGGATGTGGAAGGTAATCAGGCTTAATTTAGGGAACTGGAGCACAGGTCAAATTCCCTAGATCAAGAGCCCTTTACCAGCATCAAGGAACCTTCCTTGAGAGGTGTACTGCATGTAAAACTGACTGGATTATTATAATCAAAATAAGCCCTAAACCCAGAAGAGTCATACAGCGCTGCAAAACTGACCGGAGGGCACTTGCATATGCCAATAGTTGCATGAACCTTTCCTGTAGCTTAGTTGCTAGTGCACTCAGCTCACACACCGAGGTCCATAGTTTGATCCCCTGTACGGTTGAAACAAGGGCATTTCCTTAAGACACCTGTTGTCCCTGTTCACCCTGCATCATGCAATCCTGGGGAGAAAATTAACCTAGTTTTTCCGAAATTCTCTGCAGAAGTGGCTTTCTATATAGTATGTCACTGATGTCAGCTAAGCCTGTATGTTATAAATGTACTTGTAGAAATGTAAATTATTATTATAATCAAAAAGAAGCACTAAGACACAAGGGCTATACAGCCCTGCAGGATAGGAAAGGAAGCAAGGGTATTGGGTGGCAGAAGGGGAGAGGGGCGATCAGTAGGTTAGAGAAAACAGCGGGGCAAGGGATAGTGCAGGGCAGAGGGTAGCAAGAGATCGAGGTATTATTATTATTATTATTATAATCAAAAAGAAGCGCTAAGAGATCGAGGTAGAAAGGGAGAAATGTAAATGTATTATTAATACACCAGTGTAGAAAATTTCAATCTAATTGCCAGGAGTTTGAAGGTGATCAGAATAGGCATTCTGTAGTCTTTACTTAGAATCTAATAATTTAAACTTTTTAACTGTTAGGAAATTTGGATCGATAAGGCCTCGACTTATAAGGCTCCATCCTCTGCCTGCAGTGCCTCGGCTATTATTGATTTTAATGGGGGAGGGGGCACTAAACTGTCCATAGAGGTCATATAGTGCCTGGAGAATGTATGGCAATCAGGTATGACCCATGAATGGAACGAATAGGCCCAGTTCCTTGGATCAAGAGCCCCTCATCGACATCGAGGCACCTCCCTCGAGAGCAAGAGTGACTCCATTAATTATATGGAGGAGGGGCTTAGGGGTGGTTGTCTGGTTGGAAGATGGGGACTAAAGGACTTGTCTCCAGCTGTATTATATTTATTTGGCGAGTTTTAGGGGACAAGTTTTTTTTGAGGCTTCTGCCTCCCCCTGCCCCTACACTTTGGCACCACTCCTGTTGGAGGTAACCTACTAAAAGTTTTCAATTAGGTTTCATTCACACAGTAAACTTGAACAATGGTTTTATAGAGAGTAATAAATTATATACAAGATAGGATAATTCTTTGGGGTTCCTGTAGTTCAATGGTAGATCCAAAGGGACCCAGAGTCAGAGGCATCGCTCGAGTTGGTGTCACCTGGGACAGAATCTCTGGTGTCACCCAGGGCAGCATCCTTGGTGTCACCCCCATGAAATTCAAGGGTGGGGGGATGGGGGGTAAACTCCAGTTATGTCACTACTGCATGACCAGTAACAAATGTTTAGTAATGAGAACATTTAAGGGCCATAAACTGAACAGAATACTTCTCAACTTTATTAATGATAAAATAAATAATCGATGTAATATTGAGGAAACAAACTTAAATACCACTTTGAGTACAGGCAACAGCTCCTACGTTTATTCATTTTCAACAATGGAGAGAGAAAAAAAAACGAAAAATAAAGAAAAACATTGCAATATCAGAGAAACACTAGTTCCAATTTGACCTTGAGTAAAGGTAACATCTCAGTGAATCTGATCTTGCATTTCATTGCTTTCAATTATGCAAAATCATCTATCACATCAAAATCAATGATTTTCCCTATATAGGCTTATTTGTACATTGTTAATATATAATAGGCTATATAGAAACGAAGGATTCTTCTCTTATGTTGGTGCAGCACTATTTTGGGCATTAGTGTCACCTTTAGAGGCTCTATGGTGTCACCCCCTAAATGGTGTCACCTCCCCCTCCCCCCATGCATAACACCCCTGCCCAGAGTTCCATTTGCAGGTGAGGGAAAACAGAAGTAAATCTCCTTAAAGCTCCTGGCCCTGTTTACCTAGCAATACATACTAAATGTTCATTGAGTATTGTGGATATTATTCTTGGAGGAGAGGGTAGTATACCTTAAAAATGGCTGGACTGACATTCCATTTCTTAGCTTGTAAATTTGTGTAAAAAAAATTTCAAATCACAATGTTTTACCCAGTATATCACTGACCATACAAAGTGTTTCTGATGTATTGTTTGCACTGCTAGAAATTTATTTTCATGGATGAGCATTAAACCTGCAGGGGTCATACAATGCTTCAGGAATTCAAGTTAATCAAGTTTAATATAAGGAAGGAAATGGTTCCTTCAGTCTTAATCAAGAGCTCTTTCCCAGCATTAAGCTACCCTCCTTGACAGGACTGCTGGCAAAGATGGTCCTATCAGTCATTATTTTATTATTAGAGTACAGTACTTTTATGAGGGTAGTGCTAATCCCATAAGGGTTATACAGCACCAGGGTAATGGGAAACAATCAGATTCAGTTTCAAGAAGTCAGACAAGATCCATTTCTGTGGATCAATTGCCCTTCATGGCATCAAGTGACCATTAACAAAATAAATGAAGCATGGTTTACTTAGTGCCTATCTACTCAAAACTGAGTGTTAAATGCTGACTCCAGTGTACACCTCTTTTACGTGGTCATTATTTTGCAAATCATCCTCCTATAGGCTTCACTTTGGCTAAGAATGTGGAGAAATTACCTCCAACAGGGGAAAGCAGAATGGCCTCTCACTATGGCTTCGATGAAAGGTTAGTCCTATTTTCCTAACAAAGACATCAAATGTGTGATTGATACTGAAATGAAAATAAGTGATTATTTTAGCATGCTTGCATGGGTCTTTTTTTTTGTGCTCCAAAAGTTTGTTACCTTTATATAATAAAGTATTGCATAATGACATGGTACAATTTGTAAAATTTTCCTTATAAGCAACAATCTAACTTAAGGAAACCCATGCTATTGGAGTGTGAGCAAGGTAACATTTTGTGAGGGGATTCAGGGAAACCAGTTAGCCAGACTTCAGTCCTGGAGGTGGGAAATACAGTGCCTGTAATCTAAAGAAGCGGTTGTAATATTTGCAGTTTTGGAAGGGCATCTGTACTGCAGTATCTATGCACCTGTGGCAAGACAATGATAGAGTGAATGATGGTGAGTTTCTTTTTCAGGTCACCCTAACTCGGTGGGAGACAGTCAATGTTAGGAGTAGAGACAAGTGGTTTTTGGGTTGACAAGCTGTTGGAATGAGAGCAAGGTAATATTTTGTGAAGGGATTCAGGGAAACCAGTTAGCTGGACTTTAGTCCTGGAGGTGGGAAGTGCAGTGCTTGCACTCTAAAGGAGGGGTTTGGGATATTTGCTGTTTGGAAGGACATCTGAACTGTCATATCTGTGTGCCTCTGGCAAGATGTTGATGGCATGAATGGTGAAGTTTTTTTTTTTTTTTTTTTTTTTTGGGGGGGGGGGGGCTCACCTTGCCTTGGTGGGAGCTGGCCAGTGTGTTGAAGAAAAATCTATAATATGATCCATGTAAATTCCTACGAAGTATAATGTAGATGTATTCTGTTGACTAAGTTAATGCCTGTAAGTTTAAGTTAAAAAAGAATGAGAATTGTACAACCATTTATTAATAAAATGAGCTATCTATTTCAAAGTACAGTAGACTAGTGTACAATACGAATAAGCAATAATAGAATTCAGTTCTCTTAATGTAAGTCAGTACACATTCTAATGATTAACAAACTATCAACACCATTCCTATAATTACAGTGAAACCTGTACAATCATGAATTTAACATACATTAACACTGACAGTTGTACTGTATCACAATACATGACAGCATATTATTATTACTTTATTCATGGGGAGGCGCTTAATTTACCCAAAGCGATTGTGTAGCACCTGGGGACGGAGAAGCAAGTACAAATGTTGTAAAGGGGAGAGGCTCTAATTCCTTAGATTGAAAGCCCTTCACCAGCATCAAGGCACCTCCCTTGAAGGGAAAATACAACATAGTTAATAGAGCTACTCAGCATTTCACTAGCCTCTTACAAATACAGAACAGTACTTCAACAGTAACAAACTAATCTGCAACAACACATCAAGAAATACCAGTTTTGATAATATATTTCTATATTTTAAGCACCATTAATGTGCAACGACATATCAAGAAATGCCACTCAATTTTGTTAATAGTTTTCTATATTTAAAGTGCACACACCTTAGGTTAACAAGCAGCAAGAGTGCCAAGGAAAGGCTTTGGAAATTTCAGCCCCCAATAAAAATTATAATAAAAATGCTGCTTCAAAACAAGTCTATGTCCCCCTCTCCCTTCTAATCGCATAACCATGCCACTCCTAACCCCCCCCCCCTGGTATAAAAATTCTGGCACTACCCCTGTACACAAGTAACAAAAAATATATTTTAGACTATAGTAAGCTGCATGGGGGAGAAAAAAAAAGAATGCAGAACACACCATTAATTAAAAGCTTCCCTATTAACTTGTCTTTTCACTATTATGGGCAGCTTGCCATCATAAAGTGTTCTTGATTATTACAGTACAGTGCAGCCTCTGTACTCAAATATAATTTTTTTTTTTACACTATTCTGGATCAGTTGTAATGCTATACAAATACGCAAGTCATTTAACAGATATATACTGTACTGTAATATGTATAATGATGTTTTATGAATTTAGCTCATGGATAGTGCTATATTACCACAGGCAAGTTACAATTATGGGTTCCGAGCTTGCAGATAGCACACTAATATTATATGCCAGTCAAGGATCTACAAACACAGCTTGTAAATAATGTGCAACAGGACATAAAATACAGTAAATACATATTCTTTTTATTAACTTAATGCAAAGCTCACATTCTGAAATATTAATCTTATACTGAAGTACCCAACAAAAGTCAAAACCTAACAGTTGTCTGTACCACCTACCAGGGATTTTCTGCCACCTGATACAGAGCAACAATAAATGACTCGAGTTTAGCAATTCCAGCATAAAAATACAAATAAAATTATTTGAACCCTACTCATCCTTTATGCCTCGGACTTCTCCTCTCTGTCGTTGCTGTGAAGAGAGAAATATTAATTTCTATAGTCATCAAATGCCAACCTACATTAGGGCAAAGTTAAAACTTAACTTAACATATATAAACAGTAACAGACTTAAACACACAAATGGAGTTTGATTTATATTCTTTATATTATTAACTTGGAATTTTGTACAAGATAAAAATTTTTTTTTAACACATCGGCAGTCTCCCAATGAGGCAGGGTGACCCAAAAAAGAAAAACACTTTCACCATCATTCACACATAATCACTATGTTTGCAGAGGTACCCAGATATGACAGTTTAGAAGTCACTCCAAACAGCCAATATCCCAAATACCTCCTTTAAAGTGCACGCATTATACTTCCCACCTCCAGGACTCAAGTCCAGCTAACCGGTTTCCCCGAATCCCTTCACAAGATATTACCCCGTTCACACTCCACCAGTATGTCAAGTCCCAAAAAACATTCATCTCCAAAGGTAAGATACACACAGAGTACACTTATTACTTCCCTTAAAATATTAATATTAATGTGTGAGAGGTAAGTGGCAGGGTGTTTATTGAATAAAATCAGAATGGCACACCATCATCCTCTAACTTGGCACTTAAAGCAAGAGGTTTACGACTCCTCTTTTTATCACAGCTAAGCTTAGACGCCATTGTCAACGAGAGCCAACTAGTTAACGAAAGAGTAAACAAGAGAGAGAATGAGATACAGAGTTCAGAAAATGTAACACAAACTGAACAGGTAGTGGGCGATCACCGTCAGGCGAAATAAATGCGTATTAATATGTGTCTGCTTTTAGTTCATTCATGTACATTTGTAAGAGTTTGTAAAACTTTTACCTCAATATTTTTATAATAATAATTACCTCACAATACAAATACATGTACTCTTATATTGTGTACAAGTTGTACAAGTTATTACAGAATAGACAAACAGCAACACTCCCATTCTCATGCAACACACCATTTTTAGAGTGAATAATGATGATGATGATGATATCATAATAAAAAAGCACTAAACCCACAAGGGTCGTGAATTGCTATATATAGAATGAAGGTATATGAAAGGAATATTTTTTCTACAGGTATCCCCCAGTGTTTGACTAGAGAAAACGTAATTCTTCTGACACTACCTACACAGCCGCTTTGTAAACAAATCTCATATTTACGTCAATTTTTATTCTGTGAGTGTATGTATCATGTTTATATGCTATGTAACGTGTTTCTTATATAACTTTGAGGAAAATATAATAGATGGATTAATGAAAATGTTTATATTAATGTAAAATAAGACATTTAATGTGCCCAAGAGTGATGATTATTATTACTATTGGCGTCATGAGTAGAGAGAGACTTAGCGATTTTAATGTGTACCTGCACACTAGCACAGTGTGTAAGTATATTTAGGTACAGGTACACATAAGAATAATTATCAGAGTACATATAAAATGCGCAATAACTGTAAAACACTTGAAATTTTGGAAAGTTTCCAGACATAATAGATGTGGTCATGGAGAATGTAAACAAACCGGGTGGGGGCGTGCCGTATTTAAAAGACTGCTTGCCGTATAGCAAACTTTGGTCATAATTTGACATCGCCGTATTAGCGGAACTCTGTAAGGCGAAACGCCGTAAAGCAGGGCCCTACTGTAATTGTTCAATTCAGTTGGATCACCTCCTTTGAGGATTGGGGTGACTCTTGCTGTCTTGAGTATGGATGGGAAGGTGGAAGATTCAATGGATTTGTTAAAAAGAGTTGCAATAATTGGTGACAACACATGAGAAGCTTTTTTATTCATGAGTGGTGGCAAGTTATTTAGGTCCTCTGTCTTGTTCTTTAGCGTTTTGATGATAAGCGAGATTTCAGTTGGGTTCGTTGGGGCTAAAAATAGAGTATTAGGGTAGTTGCCAGTGAAGTAGTCTGTTGGTTGAATGTTTGAGCTTGGGATTTTACTTCCCAGTTTTGTTCCTATGGTAGAGAAAAAGATATTAAGCTTGTTGGCAGTATCAGTTGGCTGTAGGAGAGGTTCATCTGGTTTAGTTAAGTTAATCAATCTATTTTGTGACAGCTTTTTTGTTCCTAGAGTTTCAGATAAGGTTTTCCAGGTCTTTTTCATATCACCTTTTATGTCATGAAGTCTGTTTTCATAATACAATTTTTTTGACCACCTTATTAGATTGGTTTGTATTGACGAGTAACGTTTTGCGAGATCCTTTGTTATTAGACCCATTCTGTACCGTTTTTCATAGATTTTTTTTATCAATAGATTTGAGGATGCTGTTTGTAAGCCAGGATCTGTTTAGTCTCTGCTGTGATCTACTCCCTCCCTCTAATGTGATATCCAATTTTTCTTTACCTAACTCATTTGATACCCTCATCACCTTACTCTTTCTATGTTCACCTTCAACTTTCTTCCTTTACACATCCTCCCAAACTCATCCACTAATCCTCGTAACTTTTCTTTAGACTCTTTCAAAAGCACAGTATCATCAGCTAAATAACTGTTAACTCCCATTTTGTATTTGATTTCCCATATTTAATCCCACTCCTCTCCCCAACAACCTAGCACTGGGGAGAGGGGTATATTATTATTATAATCAAAAAGAGGCACTAAACCTACAAGGAGAAGAGTATAGATATACTATAGATCTTTCAACAAACTGGCCATATCCCACCAAAGCAGGGTGGCCCAAAAAGAAAAAAGTTAAATAGATTACATATTATAGAATGTGTAGTAGGTTGGTAGAGAGCAACCACCCAGGGAGGTACAGTGGACCCCTGGTTAACGATATTTTTTCACTCCAGAAGTATGTTCAGGTGCCAGTACTGACCGAATTTGTTCCCATAAGAAATATTGTGAAGTAGATTAGTCCATTTCAGACCCCCAAACATACACGTACAAACGCACTTACATAAATACACTTACATAATTGGTCACATTCGGAGGTAATCGTTATGCGGGGGTCCACTGTACTACCATCCTGCCAAGTGAGTGAAAACGAAAGCCTGTAATTGTTTTACATGATGGTAGGACTGCTGGTGTTTTTTTCTGTCTCAAACATGCAAGATTTCAGGTGTCTTGCTACTTCTTACACTTAGGTCACACTACACACACATGTACACATTTATGTATACACATTCATCCGAGTTTTCTTTGATTTTATCTTTATAGTTTCTGTTCTTATTGATTTTCCTTTCATATCCATGGGGAAGTGGAATAAGAATCTTTCCTCCGTAAGCCATGCATGTTGTAGAATTCAACTAAAATGCCGGGAACAATGGGCTAGCAACCCCTTTTCCCATAGAGCCTACTAAAAAGAAAAAGAAGAAAACCGTCAAAGTGGGATGTTTGAATAAGCAGGGATGTTGTACAAATGATAAGAAAGAGATGATTGTGGATGTTTAACAAATGAATGAGAAGCTGGATGTCCTGGCTTTAAGCGAAACAAAGCTGAAGGGGGTGGGCGAGTTTCAGTGGAGAGTAATAAATGGGATTAGGTTAGTGGTTTCAAATCGAGTTAGAGCTAGAGAAGGAGTAGTAATAATGTTGAAGAATAGGATAAGTTATGGTAGGAAAAGAGGGAATATAACTGTATTAATTCAAGGATTATGGGGAGTAAAATAAGGGTTGGATGTGAAAAGTGGGTTATAGTAAGTGTTTATGCACCTGGAGAAGAGAGAAGTGTAGAATGTAGAGGAGACAGAGAAATTTTGGGAAATGCTGAGCGAGTGCATGGAGAGTTTGGAACCAAGTGTGAGAGTACTTGTGGTTGGGGATTTCAATGCTAAAGTGGGTACAAATGTTGTCGAGGGAGTAGTAGGTAAATTTGGGGTGCTAGGGGTAAATGAAAATGAGGAGCCTTTAATTGAGCAATGTGTAGAAAGAGGTTTGGTAATAAGTAATACATACTTTATGAAAAGAGGATAAATAAGTATACAAGGTATAATATAGCACATAATGGAAGTAGTTTGTTAGATTATGTACTGGTGTATAAAAGGTTGATGGGTAGGCTTCAGGATATACATACATGTTTATAGAGGGGCAACTGATATATTGGATCATTAGTTGTATCTACAGTTAGAGTAAGAGGTAGATGGGACAAGAGGAAAATGGCAACAACAAGTAAGAGAGGTGAAAGTGTATAAACTAAGGGAGGAGGAAGTTAGAGTGAGATATAAGCAACTATTGGCAGAAAGGTGGGCTAGTGCAAGTATGAGTAGTGGGGGAGTTGAGGGTTGGAATAGTTTTAAAAATGCAGTATTAGAATGTGGGGCAGATGTTTATGGCTATAGGAGGGTGGGTGCAGGAGGAAAGAGGAGTGATTGGTGGAATGATGAAGTAAAGGGTGTGATAAAAGAGAAAAAGGTAGCTTATGAGAGGTTTTTACTAACCAGAAGTGTTATAAGAAGAGCAAAGTATATGGAGAGTAAAAGAAAGGTAAGAGAGTGGTGAGAATGAAAAAAGAAAGCAGATGATAGAGTGGGAGAGGCACTGTCAAGAAATTTTGATTAAAATAAGAAAAAATTTGGGAGAGAGATAACAAGTTACGAAAGCCTAGGGAACGAATGGATTTGTCAGTTAAAAACAGAGTAGGGGAGTTAGTAGATGGGAAGCTGGAGGTATTGGGTAGATGGTGGGAATAGTTTGAGGAACTTTTAAATGTTGATGAAGAAAGGGAGGTGGTAATTTCATGCACTGGCCAGGGAGGTATAACATCTTTTAGGAATGAAGAGCAGGATGCGAGTGTGGGGGATATAGTGTTGGAGTGGTTGGTATTTTTGTTTAATAAATTCAAATTCAATTCAAAGTTTATTCTCTATAAGGATTACAATGCTGAGTTTACAGAATTTGGTTATTGTATTGCTTACATGTAGTAAAATAATAATTACAGAGTGTACCACTAGAACACCTAGCATGGCTAGGCATTTCGGGCAGACTTAAGATTTAATTTAAGTTTAAAATATTATAAAATTATGAGGTAAGTTGGTATTATGGCTAAGTGACTAAATACTAGTTTGTAAGTTTAGCAATGTGAATGCTTTTGATTTGGCACTATACATAGTTTCAGTATTGGAGTATCACAGATTGATATTTCTGTTTATGGTCAAATGGGTGAGTGAGTGTAAGTGTTAACCACCAGGTGGTATTCGTGTAATTAGTTGACAGGGTGCATCAGGGAGATAAGATGTTTTCTGATGGTAGTTTTGAAGGTGATGAATGTGTCTGCAGTTTTAGAATTTTCAGGTAGGGTGTTCCAGATTTTAGGGCCTTTGACATACATTGAATTTTTGTAAAGGTTTAGTCGGACACGGGGAATGACAGAGATGTTTGTGTCTGGTATTGTGCCTGTGACAAACATCTCTATGACATTCCCCGTGTCCAACTGAACCTTTACAAAAATTCAATGCATGTCAAAGGCCCTAAAATCTGTATGAAAGAGGAGGAAGGTACCTAGGGATTGGCAGAGAGCATGTATAGCTCCTTTATATAAGGGAAGGGGGACAAGAGAGATTTTAAAAATTATAGGGGAATAAGTTTACTGAGAATACCAGGGAAAATGTACGATAGGGTTATTATTGAAAGAATTAAAGGTAAGACAGAGTAGGATTGCGGATGAACAAGGAGGCTTTAGAGTGGGTAGGGGATGTGTAGATCAAGTGTTTACACTGAAGCACATATATGAACAGTATTTAGATAAAGGTACAGAGGTTTTCATTGCATTTATGGATTTAGAAAAGGCATATGATAGAATGGATAGGGGAGCAATGTGGCAGATGCTGCAAGTATATGGAATAGGTAGTAAGTTACTAAAGGCTGTAAAGAATTTTTACCAGGATAGCGAGGCTTGGGTTAGGGTGTGTAAAAGAGAGGGAGATTACTTCCCAGTAAAAGTAGGTCTTAGACAGGGATGTGTAATGTCACCATGGTTGTTTAATATATTTATAGATGGGGTTGTAAAAGAAGTTAATGCTAGGGTGTTGGGGAGAGGGATGGGATTAAATTATGGGGAATCAGATACAAAATGGGAATTGACACAGTTAGTTTTTGCTGATGATACTGTGCTTACGGGAGATTCTAAGGATGAGGTTAACTATAGGTTAACCTCGGTGGGCCACATCCCACCGAGGCAGGGTGGCCCAAAAGGAAAAATGAAAGTTTCTCCTTTTACATTTAGTAATGTATACAGGGGAAGAGGTTACTAGCCCCTTTCTCCCGGCATTTTAGTTGCCTCCTACAACACGCATGGTTTACGGAGGAAGAATTCTGTTCCACTTCCCCATGGAAGCAAGAGAAAATAAACAAGAACAAGTACTAGTAAGAAAATTGAAAACCCAGTGGTGTGTGTATATATATGCTTGTACATGTATGTGTAGTGTGACCTAAGTGTAAGTAGAAGTAGCAAGACGTACCTGAAACCTTGCATGTTTATGAGACAGAAAAATGGACACCAGCAATCCTACCATCATGTAAAACAATTACAGGCATTCATTTTACACTCACTTGGCAGGATGGTAGTACCTCCCTGGGCGGTTGCTGTCTACCAACCTATTACCTAGATTGAGGTATGTCTTTCTTTCAACACACTGGCCATGTCCCACCAAGGCAGGGTGGCCCAAAAAGAAAAACGAAAGTTTCTCTATTAAATTTAGTAATTTATACGGGAGAAAGGGTTACTAGCCCCTTGCTCCTGGCATTTTAGTCGCCTCTTACAACACGCATGGCTTACGGAGGAAGAATTCTGTTCCACTTCCCCATGGAGATAAGAGGAAATAAACAAGAACAAGAACTAGAAAGAAAATAGAAGAATACCCAGAGGGGTGTGAATATATATGCTTCTACATGTATGTGTAGTGTGACCTAAGTGCAAGTATAAGTAGCAAGACATACCTGAAATTTTGCATGTTTATGAGACAGACAAAAGACACCAGCAATCCTACCATCATGTAGAACAATTACAGGTTTTCGTTGTACACTCACTTGGCAGGACGGTAGTACCTCCCTGGGCGGTTGCTGTCTACCAACCTACTATCTAGATTGAGGTATATGTGGAGACAAAAAATATTATCTATGGAGGCAAAGAAGCAAATGTATGAAAGTATAGTGGTACCAACACTCTTATATGGGTGTGAAGCTTGGGTTGTAAATGCTGCAGTGAGGAGGCAGTTGGAGATGTCCTGTCTAAGGGCAATGTGTGGTGTAAATATTGTGCAGAAAATTCGCTGTGTGGAAATTAGGTGGTGTGGAGTTAATAAAAGTATTAGTCAGAGGGCTGTGGAGGGGTTGTTGAGGTGGTTTGGTCATTTAGAGAGAATGGATCAAAGTAGAATGACATGGAGAGCGATATAAATCTGTAGGGGAAGGAAGGTGGGGTAGGGGTCATCCTCGAAAAGGTTGGAGGGAGTAAAGGAGGTTTTGTGGGTGAGGGGCTTGGACTTCTAGCAAGCGTGCGTGAGCCTGGTAGATAGGAGTGCATGGAGACGAATGGTTTTTGGGACCTGACAAGCTGTTGGGCTGTGAGCAGGGTAGTATTTAGTGAAGGGATTCAGGGAAACCAGTTTTTCTTATATAGCCGGACTTGAGCACTGGAAATGGGAAGTACAATGCCTGCACTTTAAAGGAGGGGTTTGGGATATTGGCAGTTTGGAGGGATATGTTATATATCTTTATAGTATATGCTTCTAAACTGTTGTATCTGGCTGCCTCTGCAAAAACAGTGATTATGTACGAGTGAGGTGAAAGTGTTGAATGATGAAAATATTTTCTTTTTGTGGATTTTCTTTCTTTTTGGGTCACCCTGCCTTGGTGGGAGATGGTCGACTTGTTGGAAAAAAAAAATACGTATTACATTATATTTATCAATTAACTGTCGTAACTAAGAAACTGAAGAATAAAATACTTCTTACTCTTACAATTTAGATTACTGGTGCCACCCACACTGCAACCCCAGAATTCTAACTCCTATCACTTTCCTTTCAAATAAAGTTCCAAAAATGAATCTCACTTGTGCAGTATTACATATTTAAAAAAAAAAAAAAATCACACAATCAAGCTACCTCTATGTATATATTATTCGTTTTGACACTAGCCGTCTCCTACTGAGGCAAGTTACATACATAATATGACATTGATTCCCACAAAGAAAATGCATGTGTATTTAACATTACAAAAAAGAGAAATACTCTACTGGATATGCATAATCACAAATCCAGCATTATCTCCTTAAAAAAAAAGAGGCTAAGTGGTAATGCTATGCCAAGCACCTACCTGGTCAAGTTCCTCTTTTGTTGCATCTTCCAACTGCCGAATGTCATCCATAGTCATTCCATACCACTCATCCATCCAGCAGAACACTTGCCTAGAAATTAACCACTTATGATATTAAGCATTCCTAGTTCCCCTTAGTCATGGTTTTTTTCTTTAACAGACTTACCATGCTTTTTTTCCCACAACAAGCTACAATCCGAGAATTTTCAACCTTATAATTTAAATCTGAGACCAATAATACAAGAAACTTCAAACTGACAAGCTTAATCTCCCCACTGCATAGCATACTGTATAGAAAAATGCATATAAAGTACTATAACATATTCCCTCAAATATTTGAAAGGTTCTTTTCAGTAGAATAATCTCAAAAGCTGTTGAGTGCCTTCCTAAAGGGCATGGACCACCTGCATCAAGCTGCTTTTCTATCTCTGACAACATCTTTGGAGAAACTTTCATTATAGTTGTCATTTACATCCCTACCAAAAGTTTACAGTCACTTCAGGATTAATTTACAATGGCAGCAGACAAAAAAGTTAGTTGATGTACATAAATGCTTCCAAATTTTTATGAAAAAGATTTATAAACTACAAGACAAGTGCTCTTTGCAGAACTATATTAAATACATTCTCATAAGCTATCAAATCATTCTACACCAACACTAATTTATCAGTACTGTACTATTATAGTTTTTCATCTAGGACCAAGTCTTTTAATGCATACAAGCTACTTTATTTCTACTGTAAACTTACATTAATCTTTACTAGTGAAAGTGTGCCATTAATCAAATGAAGCACTGTACAACAAAAAGTCATTATGAGGAGCTTTACCTATGGAAGTTAGTGAACAGTCTGCGCTCAACATCCTGGATGAACTTCTCTATGCGTGACTGTAACCCAAACCATTTGAACTCGCATGTCACTAACTTGTAGCAAGTCATCACTGGATCACACTACCACATGAAAATAAGTAATATTGAAAATAAAATACTATTTTAGATTAAAATAATTAAAATCTCTAGTGCATGTATAAATTTTTAGCAAGATATTAATTTATTATTTTGTAATGAAGCAATTTAAAATCATACTTCAAACAATGAGTAGGAAAAGGAATCACAGATGACAACTCTCCAGAAATGAGAAATGGTTGCTACCACTTTCCCAATTTCTGGAGGGTGTTTTATTATTCAAAGTATATTTGCTAACTTGACTTATCTCAATTAACCCTAAAGTCAAATCCTAGTATCACCTTGATCAACATGTAACATCTGCTTTGAATCCAAGTTCACAATCACTGCTGGATGTACACTGATGCACTGCAAGTTTCTTTCCTAAATTATTAAGTATTTCCAAGCATCTGAACTTAGGACCTCTTAATAGTGACATTATTGTGCCTATTACTGCAGCTGTTTATGTACAAAGAATATTATATCTCCACACATCACAGTAAATGAAATCCCAGTCTCTCTAGACAATGAAAATTTGCTTAGAAGATATACTTAAAGAGGTAATACTGTTGAAACTATTAATGTTTTTGAAGCGAGCAAGAATTTCTTCATGTTCGACTGATAGGCAGTAAAATCTGTAGTTTGTGCCCCATACCTTTTTCCACCAGCGTGGCCCTTGCAGAGGACCACGACCAGTTTTCTCAGATTTAAACCTTGTTGGGTCTTCGTTAGGTTTATAATCTGAAGGTTTAACTGGATCATTGGCAACATCAACTGTCACTACTTCTCGGATTTTCAGCTTTTCTCCTGTTAGTCTGTGAGCCTGTAAATAATATTCATTATCTGAAGTCTTTTCATCAGTGTTATTAATCATGTTCTTATATTTACAAAAATCACTAAATCCTCTCCTTTAACTAAACTTGAAATTTGTTTTTATCTCCTCTTATATATTACTTTTATTATTTTAGAAATATCATAAATGGCTATGTAGAAAATCAATCAGCACTTCAATAAACAGAAATGTGTCTTAGAAAGTAGGACACTATTCAATGTACAAATGTAATCACAAATTATTGCTGCTGTAAAAAGAGACAGACTGATGCTTAAAGTCCAGTATTAACATGCACGTGGTACTTTTAGCACTTTTCTAAATAAGCAATCCCAGATACAGTGGACCCTCGGATATCGGCCATAATTCGTTCCAGAATGTCGGCCTAAAACTGAAATAGCCGAAAACAAAAATATGTAATATTTCCCATAAGAATTAAAGATTAACTATAGTTTTACATACACAAAACAATGAGAAAAAAATATAAAGCACTAATTTTACTAATAAATGAACATTACATACCTTTATTGAAGACTTGTTGGCATATGAAAGAAAGCGAGGAGGGGTTACTTCCCTTCTGTGTCTTTTACTGCCACTAGGACCAGCTTGAGAGTCACTGCACCCTGTCGCACAAAAAAACTGTCCACTCCCTGCATGCCTGATACACTCCCTGCCTCTATGCCTGCCTGCCTGCCTTGAATTCTATCATGTTTCTGACTTTCTTTACCAAAGAAACTTTACTAGGAACTTTCTTTGGGCCCATGGTTCCTTATTTTGCAGTTGCACTCAATCAATCACAAAAAAACAATGGATTACAGCGAAATGTTTGGATGAATGCGCAGAGGCTTTCTCACTCACCCAGAGACTCAGCCAGACTAACTCACGAACGCGGCGGAGCGGCGGGTGGACATGTCCAATATAGCCAATAACCAAAATAACGATCTATAACCCGGATAGAATTTTGGCTAAAAAAGCAGGCAAAAACCGAATTGGCTGATATCCAGAACAGCTGAAAACCAAGGTTCCACTGTACTAAGTGTTTTATGCAAAAGCCAATTACTATAACAGTAGTTCTATGAACATGAAAAATCCAAAGGTACATAGCATGTCTTAAGCCATTCACCGTGCAAATGCTGGAAGTGTGTATTTGGTAACAACTGCTACTCAACTTTACTGTAATATATATAAAGTTGCATGTTACTCTACTAAACATTTTCATTTAATAATTCAGCAAGCTCTCATATTCACCTTGAACCTGACAGACTAACAACACATGTAAACATGGATTTCTTAACTTAATTCATATTGTTTTAAAATGACATGGTTCATAATGATTATGACAATTTTTATTACAACACAATGTCAAATAAATTTTAAATTACAAAACAATGTTTCTATTAAGACACTTATCAGCAATGCAGCACCTCACTTGACATTCTCCCCATGCTAGTGGCTTTCTTTTGTGTTTAACAATATTTTATTACATGTAAACTATATATTTATAGTTCACAAATAAAAAATTTGCTCGTTTGTTGGACATAACATATGGCTAAGGTTCTGCTATGCAGTGTAAAGATAAAATTTCAAAATAGGTGTTGCAAGGCTTATGAAAAGTAAGCAGGACTGAAATTATTCCTGCCCATTTATTGTATTTGAGTAGCATATCTTTCTATAAATTAAGTGGATTCACAAGCCATTAGAATTTCCACTCCGTACATCTGGCCATTTAAGACAGAATGCTGGATAAAGCGCAAAGGAAGGTGAATGTGACAACTGGATAATAACTTTTTTTTTTTTTTTAGCAAGTCAGCCGTCTCCCACCGAGGCAGGGTGACCCAAAAAGAAAGAAAATCCCCAAAAAGAAAATACTTTTATCATCATTCAACTCTTTCACCTCACTCACACAATCACTGTTTTAGCAGAGGTGCTCAGAACACAACAGCTTAGAAGCATATACGTATAAAGATACACAACATATCCCTACAAACTGTCAATATCCCAAACCCCTCCTTTAGAGTGCAGGCATTGTACATCCCATTTCCAGGACTCAAGTCTGGCTATATAAAAATAACCGGTTTCACTGAATCCCTTCACTAAATATTACCCTTGTAATAAAGTTGGTAGAATTACCGACAATATGTAAAGTAAAAGGACACAAGTGCAACTAATGTGACATTTATTGTGGCAACGTTTCGCTCTCCAGGAGCTTTATCAAGCCATTGATAAAGCTTGATAAAGCTCCTGGAGAGTGAAACGTTGCCACAATAAATGTCACATTAGTTGCACTTGTGTCCTTTTACTTTACAAATATTACCCTGCTCACACTGCAACAGATCATCAGGTCCCAAATACCATTCGTCTTCATTCACTCCTATCGAACACGCTCACGCACGCCTGCTAGAAGTCCAAGCCCCTCGCCCACAAAACCTCCCTTACCCCTTCCTTCCAAACTTTTCGAGGACAATCCCTACCCCGCCTTCCTTCCCCTACAGATTTAAATGCTCTCCATGTCATTCTACTTTGATCCATTCTCTCTAAATGACCAAACCACCTCAACCCCTCTTCAGCCCTCTGACTAATACTTTTATTAACTCCACACCTCCTAATTTCCACTCTGAATTTTCTGCATAATATTTACACCACACACTGCCCTTAGACAGGACATCTCCACTGCCTGAAACCACCACCTCGCTGCTGCATTCACAACCCAAGCTTCACACCCATATAAGTGTGTTGGTACTACTATACTTTCATACATTCCCTTCTTTGCCTCCATAGATAATGTTTTTTGTCTCCACATATACCTCAATGCACCACTCACCTTTTTTCCCTCATCAATTCTATGATTAATGTCATCCTTCATAAATCCATCCGCCGACACGTCAACTCCCAAGTATCTGAAAACATTCACTTCTTCCATACTCCTCCGTGCCAATTTGATATCCAATTTTTCTTTATCTAAATCATTTGATACCCTCATCACCTTTCTCTTTTCTATGTTCACTTTCAACTTTCTACCTTTACACACTCCCAAACTCATCCACTAACCTTTGCAATTTTTCTTTAGAATCTCCCATAAGCACAGTATAATCAGCAAAAAGCAACTGTCAATTCTCATTTTGTATTTGATTCCCCATAATTTAATCCCACCCCTCTCCTGAACACCCTAGCATTTACTTCTTTTACAACCCCATCTATAAATATATTAAACAAACATGGTGACATTACACATCCTTGTCTAAGACCTACTTTTACTGGGAAGTAGTCTCCCTCTCTTCTACACACCCTAACCTGAGCCTTACTATCCTCATAAAAACTCTACAGCATTTAATAACTTATCACCTATTCCATATACTTGCAACATCTGCCACATTGCTCCCCTATCCACTATCATATGCCTTTTCTAAATCCATAAATGCAATAAAAACTTCCCTACCTTTATCTAAATACTGTTCACATATATGCTTCAATGTAAACACTTGATCTACACATCCCTACCCACTCTAAAACCTCCTTGCTCATCCGCAATCCTACATTCTGTCTTACCTCTAATTCTTTCAATTATAACCCTACCGTATACTTTTCCTGGTATACTCAGTAAACTTATTCCTCTATAATTTTTACAATCTCTTTTGTCCCCTTCCCTTTATATAAAGGGACTATACATGCTCTCTGCCAATCTCTAGGTACCTTACCCTCTTTCATACATTTATTAAACAAAAATACCAACCACTCCAACACTATATCCCCCCCTGCTTTTAACATTTCTGTCATGATCCCGTCAGTACCAGGTGCTTTACCCCCTTTCATTCTATGTAATGCCTCACACACCTTCTCCACACTCACATCCTGTTCTTCACTCCTAAAAGATGGCATACCTCCCTGTCCTGTGCATGAAATTACCGCCTCCCTTTTTTCGTCGACATTTAAAAGTTCCTCAAAATATTCTCGCCATCTACCCAAAACATCCATCTCCCCATCTACTAACTCCCCTACTCTGTTTTTAACTGACAAATCCATTTGTTCCCTAGGCTTTCTTAACTTGTTTAACTCGCTCCAAATTTTTTTCTTATTTTCATTAAAATTTCTTGACAGTGCCTTTCCCACTATCATCTGCTCTCCTTTTGCACTCTCTTCACCTTTCTTTTACTCTCCATATACTCTACTCTTATAACACTTCTGCTTTGTAAAAACCTCTCATAAGCTAACTTTTTCTCTTTTATTACAACCTTTACTTCATCATTCCACCAATCACTCCTCTTTCCTCCTGCACCCACCCTCCTATAACCACACACTTCTGCCCCACATTCTAATACTGCATTTTTAAAACTATTCCAACCCTCTTCAACCCCCCCCCACTGCTCATACTTGCACCAGTCTCACCCGAACTTCCTCCTCCCTTAGTTTATACACTCTCGCCTCCCTCTTACTTGTTGTTGCCATTTTCCTCTTTTCCCATCTACCTCTTACTCTAACTGTAGCTACAACTAAATAATGATCCGATATGTCAGTTGCCCCTCTATAAACGTGTACATCCTGGAGTCTACCCATCAACCTTTTATCCACCAATACATAATCTAACAAACTACTTTCAATACGTGCTATATCATACCTTGTATATTTATTTATCCTCTTCTGCATAAAATATGTATGGATACATAAAGTCACTAAATTTATTGATATAGATGAATGTACTGTAAAAATAATTATTTCTTCCCTAATAAACCATTTTTTTTTTTTAAACTTTATGGCCATCTTCCACCAATTCAGGAAGACATGTGGAAAACATTCACAATATTCAGTCCAAAATCTACTCTAGAATAATAGTACAGTTAATGAAAACAAATTGAAAAGATGAGTAGGAATAAGCATTAGCATATCTAGGATACCAATTCCTGTTGAAACCAGCAGATCTATTAAACATGACTAAGATACAATTTTGATCTACTCCAGCTGTGGTATAAACAATTAGGTACCATAGTGTACCTAAAATTCAAGCATAGAATACTTCATGCACCTAATGGATGCAGTACTAAATTTTACAAAATGCTTAGCAACTATGGAAAAATATTAAACTACTATAAAACACGTGGCACATTAAAATAATAAAAGCAAACCAACAGCTTTAATTCAGTGTACAAGAATTAAATAAAGAATTAACCATATACTGCATTAAGCTTCTACTACAAATAAAAATATTGTCATAAATGTATTTAAGCCCAGGAATATTTCCCTAAATTATCAAGTTGAAAAGAGGATAAACAATGCTCTTTTAATTACTGTGATTTCTTTATTTTTGTCCCTCTGTCAAATTTTCAGATTAGTAATTTTGTGTGAACAGTAAATCACCAGTGACGTAGGGAAGAGATCTTTGAACTGAAAGTGTTCACCAAATTGGAAAACAGAGCAGTTGGACCTCAACTTACCCAAATTACTCTGAGCTACATTTAGGAATGAGGTCCAAAAGTAGTAACATTTGAGAAATTCTTTGTTTTATGAATACCTATCTGCAGTTACAAACGTGTGACATGTACAAAAGGACAACCATACTTCATACTGTAATTTTTTTTTTTTTATAGTTAAGGGATACAAATGACTTGTTCTTAAGTTTAAACACCAGGAACCCAATTTGCTCATGATATGGGACCTTTGGGACCTCAGTGCTAAGAATTTTGGATAAATGAAGCCCAAATGTAAAAGATTCTACTCCCAAGAAGAGATGAGCATCATTTATTATTACATCATGGGGAGCAATAAACATGTGGGGTTTCATTCTAAAGAAAGGAAAGTAAAGTTCAATTCCTTGGATAAAGGACCCCTTACCAGCATCAAAGAGCCTCCCTTGAGAGAAGAGCAACATTAAGTAGAGTGCCATCAATGCTCTAATGATAACATACAGAGGAGAGCCAAGTAAGCAAAGTTCTGTCAAGGCTATGAAAAGCAACAGAGCCAAAATATTGTCAAATCAAGTATTGCACCACTCACATTCTCAGACTCTCCATCATCAGCTGAATGAAGTGTCTCTATGGTAATATAAAAACTGTCCTTCATGTAGCCTGGATTCTGAAAGGCAACTTATTAGTAAAGAAATATTTAAACAGTCTGTTAGATACAAAATATTATTAGTTTAATACTGACATGATTTTGTGTTAAATATGACAAATTTAAGAGACTGATTTAGCATTTAAAATTAAAAAAAAATAGAAAAATGCAGGAAGGAAGAAGGAATAGATAATGAATAAGATGAAGACATGAAAATGAAAATAACCTAACAGATAAGAAAATGTCAATATGCCTTCCAAAGACAGGAAAAACAATAAAGGTAATTGAGCAGTACAACCAACCAATTTGCTTTCCCTGTAATACATGCATCAATTGGCTTATCATATATGTATAGTTAAGCTCTGATACACATGTTTATTCTGACTTACATTTTTAACCCTTTCAGGGTCCATGCCGCAGATCTACGGCTTTACATTCAGGGTCCAAACCGTAGATCTATGTCATGAGCTCAGCTCACTCTGATAAGCTGTGAGCAGTAAATTTGGGCCTAGATATGAGAGAATACATCTATGTGGTATGTGTGCACCACATAAAATAAATCCTGCAGCACACAGTGCATAATGGGAGAAAAAAACAGACCGTAATTTTCGATTAAAACAGAAACTTTGCAGTGTTTTTTTGTGTGTTTTTTTATAGTTGTACAGTGGACCCGGAATTAACGATTTTCATTCTGCAAGAGGTCATGTTATGCGAAATAATCGTTATTGAATGATTTTCCATAAGAATAATGAAATAAGTTAAATCCTGCAGACGCCCAAAAGTATGAAGAAAATTTATTTTTTACCCAGAATGTATTATACACGAGAAACAAACTGAAAAGGCATCACAATACATGACACTTACGTTTTAATATACTGTGAGATGTGGGATGGAGGAGGGTGAGAGCATATTTTTACTGTTTGAAGGGGAATCCCTTCATTAGACTTGAGTAGCAGAGTCCTTATTCATGGGTTACTCCTCTCTTGTTAATGCACAGGACAGCTGAGGTCACTGGACTCTGTCGCACAAAGAGATTGTCCATAGAGCTCTGTACTCCGTTGCTTACAAGATTTCAAAAGGGCATAACATTGTCATTGAAATAGTCACCAGCACGGCTTGCAACAGCTGTGTCAGGGTGATTTTCATCTATAAAGGTTTGCAGTTCAACCACTGTGCACACATTTCACTTAATCTTTGAAGTAGGCACAATGGATTCCACAACTGGCATAGGCTTCTCAGGGTTAGCCCCAAACCCTTCAAAATCTTTCTTAATTTCCATACTAATTCTCACCCTTTTTTACCACAGGGTTGGCACTAGAAGCTTTCTTGGGGCCCATGGTCACTTATTTTCCAGAAAGTACCGAAAACACTGTAATAATACGAAATATTCCGAGTGTATGCTTGGATGTTACCGCGGAGGCTGGCTGGTAAACAATGGGACGGCCGGCACATGTGAGGGCACATTGGACGCGTCTCGGACGAAAATCGGTAAGCGGGTTTTTAATCGGTATGCGCGGCAAAAATTTTGCGATAAAAGTAATCGGTATGCGGAAAAATCGCTATGTGATGCCATCGTTATGCGGGGGTCCACTGTATTTGCAATTCCTTGGTCTCATTTGATAGAATGGAAGATATACTACAGAAATAGAGATGATTTTGAATTGTTTTAGTACGTACTGAAAATGGCTTGAAACTGAGCTCAATGTAGCAGAAATGTTAATTTTTTGCCGATGTTCAAGAGTAAACAAATGACCTCACAAGTCTAATGACAGCTGGTGGGTCTAATATACATTCACAAATGTGGTGATAGCATTTATACAATTATTACAGTATTGCATAACAGTATCATTATTATAATCAAAAAGAAGCGCTAAGCCACAAGGGCTATACAGCGCTGCAGGGTAGGGAAGGAAGCGAGGGTATTGGATGGCAGAAGGGAGGAGGGATGATCAGTAGGTTACAGAAAACAGCGGGGCAGGGGATAGTACGGGGGTAGGGGGTAGCAAGAGATTGAAGTAGAAAGGGCTGAAGGTATCAGAATTTGTGAAGTCAGTCAGTTGTTGTCAAAAAGTCAATGAGAGAGTCTGGATGAAAGGTGGGTCCATCAGCGAGAAGGGAAGGTAAAGAGAGAGCAACAGAGCGAAGACGACGACGGAGGTAAATTCTGCGTGCTCGTTGATAAAGTGGGCAGTCCAACAGAATGTGGCTGACTGATAATGGAACTTGGCAATTCTCACAGAGAGGAGCAGGGTGCCTCTCCACGAGATATCCATGAGTAAGACGAGTATGGCCAATGCGAAGACGGGAGAGAGTAGTCTCCCAACCTCGACACTGGTGATAAGAAGACGGCCAGTTACCTATACTCGGTTTAATAGATTGAAGTTCGTTGCCGAGCATAGTAGACCAACGTTGTTGCCAACGGGTGTGAAGTTGGGAAGATATTGCAGCAAAATAGTCCGTAAATGGAATACCTCTACATGAAACTGGTAGGTCATGTACTGCTGACCGCTCAGCAGTGTCTGCCTGTTCATTGCCCTGTACGTCAACACGACCAGGGACCCAACAAAAAACAATATCTTTATGCTTGGTAAAGATGCGGCGTAGCCAAAGTTGGATACGGAGGACTAAGGGGTGAGGTGTATCAAATTTCTGTATAGCCTGTAAAGCACTAAGGGAGTCTGAGACAACCACAAATGATGACACAGGCATAGATGCAATACGGATAAGTGCTGTAAGGATGGCATACAATTCAGCAGTAAAAATACTAGCCGAAGACAGTAAATGCCCTTGTACAGTGGACCCCCGCATACCGCACGCATCGCATACCGTACAATCCGCATACCGCTCGCTTTTTTCGCAAAAATTTTGCCTAGCATACCGCCCAAAAACCCGCTCACCGCCCTTCGTCCGAGACACGTCCAATGTGCGGCCTGAGCCACACTCGCATGTTCTGCCGGTGGCATTGTTTACCAGCCAGCTTCCGTGGTAACATCCAAGCATACAATCGGAACATTTCGTATTATTACAGTGTTTTTGGTGATTTTTTCTGGAAAATAAGTAACCATGGGCCCCAAGAAAGCTTCTAGTGCCAACCCTACAGCAATAAGGGTGAGAATTACTATAGAGATGAAGAAAAAGATCATTGATAAGTATGAAAGTGGAGTGCGTGTCTCCGAGCTGGCCAGGTTGTATAATAAACCCCAATCAACCATCGCTACTATTGGTGGTACAGCTGCTGCTGTACCACCGTCAGCTGCTGCTGCACTGTCAGCTGCTGCTGCTGTTGTACCACCGTCAGCTGCTGCTGCTGCTGCTGCTGTAGCACCGTCTGCTGCTGCTGTAGCACCATCTGCTGCTGCTGTAGCATCGTCTGCTGCTGCTGTAGCATCGTCTGCTGCTGCTGTAGCATCGTCTGCTGCTGCTGTAGCATCGTCTGCTGCTGCTGTAGCATCGTCTGCTGCTGCTGTAGCATCGTCTGCTGCTGCTGCTGTAGCATCGTCTGCTGCTGCTGCTGTAGCATCGTCTGCTGCTGCTGTAGCATCGTCTGCTGCTGCTGTAGCATCGTCTGCTGCTGCTGTAGCATCGTCTGTTGCTGCTGTAGCATCGTCTGTTGCTGCTGTAGCATCGTCTGCTGCTGCTGTAGCATCGTCTGTTCCTGCTGTAGCATCGTCTGTTGCTGCTCTACCACCGTCAGCTGCTGCTGCTGCTGCTGTAGCACCGTTGTTGGTGTGGCTTATTGAGAATACCAAGAAACAATTAACCCCAGAGGATTTGCCACCCAGGATAACCCAAAAAAGTCAGTGTCATCGAAGACTGTCTAACTTATTTCCATTGGGGTCCTTATAATCTTGTCTCACAGGATGCAACCCACAACAGTCGACTAACACCCAAGTGAACAGGGAAAAATGCCTGGAACTAGTGCTCATATTGGTGAATTTAAAGCCAGCAAAGGTTGGTTTGAGAGATTTAAGAATCGTAGTGGCATACACAGTGTGATAAGGCCTGTACTGGAAGAAAATGCCAAACAGGACCTACAGTACTCAGGAGGAAAAGGCACTCCCAGGACACTGTCTCATCAGTCATTGCTGCATCTTCAATAAAGGTAAGTGTCATTTATTCTTCATTTAGTAGAGTAGTACATGCACAATATATATTGTGCATGTACTACTCTACTATTGTGCGTGCATCCTTCTCTTTGTGTGTAGGAAAATGTATATTTCATGTGGTAAAAAATTTTTTTTCATACTTTTGGGAGTCTTGCACGGATTAATTTGATTTCCATTATTTCTTATGGGGAAAATTCATTCGCATACCGAACATTTCGCATAACAATCAGCCCTCTTGCACGGATTAAAGTCGCTATGCGGGGGTCCACTGTACAACGCTGTCCGGAAACACTGCTGCAAATCCTGCGCCGTCAGAAGACTTAGAGCCATCTGTGTACACAGCAATGGCATGAGAATGAGAGTGAAAGTGGTCAAGAAAATGAGAGCGGGAAGCAACTGTAGACAGTTGGGCTTTTGAGCAAGGGAGAGAGAAAGAGCAGACTCGAACAGCTGGAACTTCCCAGGGGGGTAGGGAAAAGTGAGATGCTACATGTACATAGAAAGGTGGTAATTGAAGAGAAGACAAGAGTGAATGAAGGCGAAGAGAGAAGGGACGGAGTAAACAGGGGCAGCGAACAAATAAAGAATGTATACTAATATCAGTGACCATTCTACAAATGGAAGGATTGCGGAGATCATGAGAGCGTACATAGTAGCGAAGGCAATGGGCATCACGGCGATCGGATAAGGATGGAAAGTTCGCTTCTGTATAGAGGCTCTCGACAGGGGAAGAGCGAAAAGCACCAAGGCATAAACGTAATCCTTGGTGATGAATGGGGTTAAGGCTAGAGAGAGTAGCAGGAGATGCCGCTGAATAGATCTGGTCACCATAATCAAGTTTCGATAAGATAAGGGTGGAATGTAGGCGAAGGAGGGTTTGACGATCAGCTCCCCATGAAAGATGAGCAAGAGTTT